AAAAAGGAATTTGAGTTTCCTGGACAAATGAGGTATAAAAGGGATATATAAATCTTCAGGAAAAGCAACTAAAGCTGTTTTCAGAACAAATCATTTTTAAACATATGAAAACTACCCTGACAGCTTTTCACACCAAGGTTATGACCCAGAAACCAAAGTGTCAAGTTATATTGAACGCGAATCTAGAAGTTTGGAGACAGTGAAACAATTTGTTGGCAGGTGGAAGAACCCCAAATTCAATATTTGGAACACTGCTTGTACTCAGCAAATGTTTTTGCTTTTGTTTTTGTTTTTTAGGGGTGGGCACTTACATTAACAGATTTATATATATATTTGAATTGGTAAAATAAGAAAGTCCGAAAACCCTGTCTCGATACTGACTGCATAGATTGCCTGTTTTCTCCGAGCATTTTCAAATATTTTCAACTATTTTCAACTATTTCAACCACTAGCAGCAGCAAGCTGGTGGTTCCCGTGTGTAACAGTCCCTAACCTCCAGACCCTTAGATCTGAACTGCTGAACATATTCACTTGGATGTCTCATCAGCACCTCAAACCCAATATTCCCAATTGAAGTATTCTATTTCTTCTTCTAACAGGATCTTTCTGTATTAACAGTTTTGAGTAAACTACCCAAGGCAATAACTGCACTAACATTCTTTCTACGCTTTTCTCTGTCACATTCATCATCCAATAAATCCCACTCATTTTGCCTCCTTAATATTTTCGAAACTGTGCTCTATTTTTCATCCATGTCATACTACCCTCTGGCATTATGTCATCTCTCAAGATTGCAGAAGGAGTCTATCTCTAATTGTGTTGCCTGGAGTCTATAGTATTTTATCTTAGTGCCAACTCTGACATATTTTCTCTTAGTTTAAAGATCTCCATAACCTAAAGAATAAATTCATCCACGACATACCTTTTATATATCACTCCATCCACACCACCCATTTTATCTCTTATTTTACACTGATTACAATAAAAAAGATGAATAAATACTATTTTCCCACATATCCCATGCTGCTAGGAATTTATACATCATTGCTCGTGATTTTTCTACCTGTCTGTCCATATTTCCACAGTGCATGCCTCCTTATTTTGAAAGACTTATCTTAAGCATCACACCTATGCCACTGAAGTTCCCCCTGCCATCCTCATATGGGTTGATAGGTTCCTTTTGTATTTGTTTTTATAGTAAAACTTTTCAAATTATTAAGAAATCATCTGTTTACATTTCATCAGACTGTAAACTGGGATTGCTATCAATAGTATACAGACACCTGTGCCCTCCTTATCACAGCACCTCGCACATGGAATATTGAGAAAATGATCTGAATGATGTAAACTAAACATATGTTTGCATTTATAGGACACAAACTTAAAGAAATTAAATTTGAAGTTTTGTCTCTAGACCTTCAAATGGCCATTTTTGTTAACTCTACTATTCATTTGGGACCAAAAAGAGAAAAATGGGACCAAAAAGAGTAAAATGGGACCAAAAAGAGAAAAACTAAATAATGAGCTTTTATACTTTAAAAAAAAATGTATTTATTTACACAAGAGCTGGGGTACAGGCCAGATGTGTGGGAGGTGAGAGGATTCACCAGAGACAGAGTGGGGAGCAGAACAGGCAGACTGACCAAAATCACTGCTGAGGGGAGCAGCGGGCAAGACAAGAGAGGTCTGCTGTGCCATGTGGGTAGCTCCCTGGCCGGCCAGGATTCAAACCTGCACTGCAGAGGCTGTGGACAGCTTCACAGCGCATGCTCAACCCGCTGCACCACCTGGGAGGCCCTGTAGTTTCGAATATATAAAATTACTAACACTGTTACTTAAAGGGAATTTAAATAAAAGTAAGGTGAGCTTCGAAATCAAAGACATAATTTTTGATAGAAAGTTCCCCACTCAGTAAGCTTGCATTTACTGACACTGATTTTCAGTGTCTGCCTCTTTGGAGTCGGGAAAATATATCCTAATTTGTAGTATCATTTTAAGAATTGAAGATAATGTACAGAAAAGAAACAGACATTCAATTTTCTCTTTCTTTTGTTACTATTATTGTTATCATTATTATTATTTATATGTAACCTGGGTATAATTACAATAAATTATACATATTATTTGAAAAATTCATTAATATTTGTTAATTACTCAAAATAATGCCTTGCAAGTATGTATGCATACATGCATGTGTATGTGTAGATATAGATGTGTTCTAATAAGTGCCTACAAGAAAAAATTTACTTTATAAATGAAATTATTTTATTTTACTTTATTTTAAAGATTTTATTTATTTATACAAGAGCCAGGGTACAGGCCAGAGGTGAGGGGGGTGAGAGGATTCACCAGAGACCGAGCAGGGAACAGAATAGGCAGACTGACGAAATACACTGCTGAGGGGAGCAGCGGGTGAGACAGGAGAGGTCTGCTCACCATGTGGGGATCTCTGCAGCCGGCAGAGATCGAACCGGCACTGCAGAGGCTGCAGACAGCTCCACAAGGCTGTGCAAAACCGCCTGTGCCACTAGGGAGTCCCTAAATGAAATAATTTTAATTGATATTTTATAAGTTATACTCTGAAAACTTAATTATTAATTGAAATTTCCATTTTTGGGAAATAAAATCAAATCGTGAAAGATTTGTGTTTCTTTATAGGTACAATGTAGCAACTATGTAATCTTTATTATTTTAAACAGCACATTTTGGCGAAAAGAAAAACGAATAATAATGAATGAAAATGTAGTCTATGTAAGTATCCGGTGAGCATAATTGAGCTACATATAGGCAAGAGTATCCCATCTGCTAGTGAGATCAGCTTCTGAATCTGTTTCAATGGTATTTTCATCTTGTTTTGAATACAAGGACTACTTGAAAGTTTCAACGAGTGTAACGCACCTCTTGCTTTATTGAAAAAAGTTGAAGTTTGTATTATTTCGTTTTGTAAAAGCTTATGAAGAAGGAAGTTGGGTTTTGCTAGAGTAGGATTGGTAGGATCTATTTCATAGACATGGTCACCTGGAAAAATGCGTCTGTGAGATGGAGAGGAAGAAGAAATGGGGAGGAGAGGACAGGGGAAAAAAAGAGCTTGTGAGCATTGAGTGCAGATGTCCTCAGTTAGTTATAGAAGATTTAAATCGGCAACTAGCTCAACAGAACACCTTACGCAACAGAATACCTTCAACAATTCGTTCAGTACCTCTTTGAAACTGAATGACCATCAGTGTTTCTACTCTGCTATTAATATTAATTTTTAGTTGAAAAAAACTATAGGACAACAATATGGCCACGCGACCCAATTCACATACATGTAAGTACTAAGTATTTTCTATTGAAAGTGTAATGTCATCCAATGATGGGTGCAGGGATTTTCTTCTAAAGTGATTTCTTTGATAAAATAAAGGCTGCTCAATCAGGTTTAGCCTGCTGCTTTATCTCCTCTAACAAGTCTTTATAGTCTTTCTTCCTTATGGCCTATACCTAAAGTTACATTATGTATACCGTTCTTTCTATCCTTCTTCCTCTATATTGTGAGCTCTATGGCACACAGGACCTGTGGATTCTTTTATCTCTGGTACAAAGCACATTGACTAGAATTTAATAGGTAATGTCCACTAAATAATTAAACCCATTCTTCCCATTTAGTTTGATGGAATAAGTCATTTTCATTCAAATACTAAATACTTTTAACATCTTAAAAAGAAAAAAAAATGTTAAGGGGAAAGCTTCTATTCTACAACTAAGACCAATTTTAATTTAATTGCATTTTGCTTTATTATTAACTTTGAAACAACAGAAAAAGAAACTTTAAAAACACCAGTTCTGTCAGGAGTAAATAAGTCTGATGGTAAGTCACTATCACTGCCTGTCAAATACCAGGAACATGGATGAATTGTCATCTTAGTAGGCTCCAATATTAGAAGGAAAAAAATGGTATCAAGGTAATAAACTTTAAGAATCTTGGGCCCCCAAGATAATTACCTCTCCTGGTAATTATTCTCTACTGAAGAGATTGGTGAAGTCAAGTCAATTCAGTGAATATAAGTTTTCTCACCTGGCAAATGGGGATGATGGTGCCCCTTTGCTGCACAAGTTTAAACCGATCAATAAAAATGAAATAATTTCCGTGGAAGCATATTCACTCCGAACACTGTCACGCAAATAGGAGGGCTCATCTTGACACAATATGTAGCATTATGTTGGAGATCAGCTGACTTCTCTTAGCTGGAACGACCATTACGTTCCAGGGGTGGTGCATTGCCATTCTGATATAAAACTACCTCCACCATGTGGGCAGTCTGTCACTGACTGTAAAACTTCAGCTCAGTGGTTATATAAATCTCTAACACCAAAGGACAGCCTTTCGTCTCTTTTAGCATCACCAGTCCCTCATAAATTTTCATTGAAAACAATGATTAAAAAAATAACTAATACTTGAAGCTAACAAATTTTAATAGGTATACATTCTAAACTTAGTCTTTCTGTGCTCAATTTCTTGATCAATCTACTTAAGCCTTATAATATTCGGTTTCTTCTTTGGTAAACTATGTATAATAATAATGAAGCCTCTGATATAGGGATATTGCAAGAGAAAATTTAAGTGACGTTCTAGCACCATCTCTGATACATGGAAAGCAGCTAATATATTCTAATTTACTGATACTCATCTTTTTCCTAGCTGCGAATAATGGCATTCCTTTGGCCATTGAGTATTCCAATGGCATTCCTTTGGCCATTGAGTATCTAAGTGTGATGCATTCACTGCATCGTAGGGTAGAATACATGTGGTTCAGCCAAGAAGTATTAAAACAGCCCCAATGTTATCTACATCCCATCACAGACATCTATCAAGTATCACAGGCCAGCCACTGCATTGAAAATTAGGAGCCCGTTTTGCGGCATGGGGCAACCTGCCGCAGCCATGTCTCTTCCTCAGCCTGGCCAGCTAAGCATGAAATCACATCTTTCTGTTTGCTCCTGTCCTTGTTCATGCTCACCAGGTACAAAGACAGGAGACTGGCCCAGCACAAGTCGGAAATAGAGTGTTTCACCCCCAAAGGGAGTATGGGGAATGGTGGGAGAGCAGCAATGAGCAGGTAAGCAAACTGTGATGGCCTAAGGTGGTGTGAACTAATTGTTTGCAAGCTAGAGGAACAGGTGGCTCCCTGGTTCAGGTCCTCACTCAACTGTGCATCCCATACAGTGTGTCCAACCTGGGCCACCACTGGTTTTCTGTGTGTATTTGGTCTGCAAAGCCCATGCCATCATCATGTCAAGTGATGGGAGCCTCCTGTCCCAGAAGCTGCTGTTGCCCAAGGTTGTGCGCTTTGCATGTCTGAAGTCTTAGCTCACAGTCAGTTCTCCCATGGAATTAACTTCTTGGTCAATCTTTCTGGAGTTTGCAAAGTGGAAGAGATTGGAGGAAATTCATGTTCCCAGACTGTTCACTAAAGAAAACAAATGCCAAAGCCTAGCATTGGTTTTGAGGGAACGACCACAACTGAGGGAAGACACAAACCCCAGATCACAGACAAGTCTGGGAGTGAATCTGACTTACTTTGAATGTAACGTCAGCTCACAGCCAAGGGCATTGCCATGCCAAACTACAAACTGTAGAGGCAAGAGGCTTTTCGTGAACTGAAAATAGGAAAGCTAGTCCTCCTCTGGCTACCACAGCTTTGCTGCTCCTTTCCTTCTCTGTGTTTGGTGGTGAACATTCCTGTCACTGCGTTGTGCATGCTCCTTCATACCAGTACTCCCAACTCAGTGCTGCCTAGTAAACTGGGGTATTTGAAACTATAGGCACCCACTGAGCTATGTTGCATGAAATGAACGTGCTTTACTGCATGGGACTGGATTTCAAACAAAGGGCTTTGAAGTTAAAGACTGCCAAGATTGACCCTGAATAGCTCCAGAATACTGGAGAAGCCTTGAATTGGGGAACTGCTCACCAAGAACTGACTCTCCATCTCAAATTTGGTATTTCCGATCTACCTGTGGCATAGAGAGGTGAAAGGGAAGCACTTTTAGATCAGCTTGGCCTAGGGAAAGGACAAGGCCAGAGAATAGAATGTGAACGTGTGTGTGTGTGTGTGTGCATCGTCTCAGATCAGAGAACGAGTCTTAGGACCCAGCTGCAATGAAAAAAGGGTAATCCTGTTGAACTGTCACCACAAACATTGTTTGCTTACTCAGTAGTGGGCTCTTTCTGGTTTTCAAAATAATGTCTGACTTCCTCCAAGAACCACCACATTGCACAACTGTTGGGGTTGGGAGGAACGGTTGCTCTCATTGCAGTCTGTGAAAATGGTACTCAGAACTGTGCAGCTTACAAATTGAGCAATCATTCATAGCAGCCCTGAAAAAGGGCCCACCGAACTTGACCCATGGCTCCCATGAGTGGTGTGCATGTTAGACATGTGTGTTTGTGCACATTAGTGCATCTGATATCCTTTATGTCCAAATCCCTATATGCAGCTAATTTTTATCTCAGTGTCTAGAAGATAAACCTCAATAAATCATTATGTGGGAGTGACTCAACAGATCCCTGGGTTTTTTTCCCTTCAGATATGAGAAAGTTGCATAATCCTTGTCCTTGAAAATTAGTCAAACAGCACTAGAGTCAGCTGGACAAGGTGAACATAACTGCCTCAAATGAGAGCTCAGGGACTCTGTTCAAAGTGACTTCTGATTTGAGACAATTGTCTAGGACCGGAGATTCCAAATCTAGCAAAAGTATCAAACATACTGAGACAAATGTATATCAATAAAATTTAGGAATCTGTAGTATAACAGATTTCCTAAGTCATTATGATTTAGCCAGTTCATAAAGCAATATTTGGGAATCATCCAAGTATCTGGTAGATGTCATGGAGCTACCCACAGCAATTATTAGGTCTCCATTCCGCCATATGATGATGTCCTTGGAAGTATTTAGTCAATGACTAAAACTCTCAGATGTGATCGATCCAGTGATCAGATTTGTCCAAGGCTGTCTTGAATGATGGGAAAGGAAGAGAAGACGGGGTAGGGCACGGAGAGTAAGGAGATCCCAGACCAAAGAAACCAATTTTCCTTCCAGATCTATAGAAATAGCTAAGCAAGATGTTGACCCTTGAGACAGTCTAATTTTCTTTACAACAGCTAGATATCATTTAATTTTTGTTCCCTCACATGTTTGTATATAGCCAAGATTTTGACAAAGGGATGTGCCTGATGGGGTGGAGGGGGATCTGTGAGCTGCAGTAGACAGTGCTGTTAGAATAACCATCTCAGCTGTCCGAGGGCGGGCCATAGTTAATTAGGAATGGGTGATCTCCCCTTCCTACTCCCTCTTCTCTTCCATTTTTTAGCATTAAAAAAAAAAAATACCTGACAGAGAGAAAGAGTGTGTGGGAGAGAGAGAGAGCAGAGCTCTCTTCAGTACTCAAGAGAGCTTTCCATTAAGGAAGAGAATAGGCCTGGAAATACAAAAGTAAAGGCCAGATTTTTTTTCCCACTTTATATCTGTTCATATAAACACACATACACACACACAATGACAATTATCCAGAAGAATTCACCTTAAAATGAGCATTAAGAGAAAAGAACACAAGAGGAGGCAAATGTCATTTCCATGTAAGGGGTCATTTCCATATGCGAGATGGGCTGGGGAAACTCAAGCAACCACAGACAACCAGGAGTCTCACCCTCAGCTCTCTGTTTTCTCTGATGGAACTAGGGACTGACTAGGACCCTGTGAATTCAGGAGGAGGGTGTATTTCTCAGACCGAAACTGCCCGGTGGGGAGGCAAGGGGTTTTACAGAGACGCAGTCACAGCAGAGCAGAGCACTAGTCTGTGCCCCGCAACGCTGGCAGGACCTTGGACACACTTCCCATCCCCCTCTCCCTCCTCCCCCCTCACAGGTGGAAAGGACCCAATATATATATACCCAAAACATTCTAACTTCCTGAAAACTTCCTGTTTTCCCTGCATATGATTTTTTTCCCCTTCTGGCGGAATAGTTATCTTTTCATATCTTCACAGTGGACAGTCTAAATGTGTTTCAGAGCAGTCCTCCTGATGGCAGGAGAAGTGAAAGAGAATCCTAAACAGGGAAGTGCTCTAGGAAGCAGAAATTCTTTAAGCCTCATTCATCACTGTATGAGTTCATGTACGGATGTCACTCTCAGCAGTGGCGAAAACATGAACAAGGAAAGTTATCCCTTATCAGCAGCGACTTTCCATCCAGTGGGGTTGCAATTGTGCTCCAATGTGCTCAGGCTGCACCCTGTGGAGAGGCACAGACATTCTGAGTCTCCCAGTCTCTCTCTCTAGGAAAGGACTTCCGCAGTCAAGTGAAATAAACAGAGCTTTAATCCCCCTCCATTGTTAGAAGGCAGGAGGTAGTATGTGATTAATTTTATTGTTGCTGCGTCAGGATCTCAGTTATGTGAAGCATTATTCCCCAATCAGTTGAATGATTTTTACTTAGTAGGAATAGTATCTAATTTCAGAAGGTATTAATTTCAGAAGGTATAAATGTTTATTAAAGTTTTACATAATTCGGTAACTGTCATTATTAATATATAAATATTCATTATAATCATCCTTTTTTAATTTGTAGTAACTCAGATTTAAAGAGTAGCCCCAAAATGTGATACCTATAAGGATTGTTTTGCCTTTTATTCATTCAATAATTTATTGTCATGTAATAAACATTTATTAAGATAGGCCAATGGCTTGCAGTACTCTGGAGATAAATAGATTGCCAAAACATGACAAGTGTCCTTGAAAAATACGCAATCGGCTAGGGAACAAATTTAGAAAAAACAGATAATTGCATAGTGATATGGAACCTGTCTTTCAGATCAATTTATGCATCAGATTAACTACTTGTTCGATATCATAATCTATAGCTTATACCAGTACAAATAGAATTGAGAGTAATAAAAACTAAATAGTAAAATTAACCTGAATAGCAGATTCAGAAAGGGCTAGGTACACAGATATATAAAATTCAGCGTCCTCAGAGGAGAAAGCTTCTGCCTTCCCAGCACAGAAGTAAGCTGGTTGCTTAGCAATAAGACTGCTGAAGTGGTCTTCTCTTTATTCCTCCCCAAAGTCGATTTCAAACTGATGTTCTAACTTATATTTAGAGATGTTCTAAAACAGATAAGAAGGATAATAATAATTACTACCATTACTGTAATTGCTCTGCATCAGACACTATAGTAGTCCTGTCATAAATGTAATTCACTAATTTCTCCCAGTAATGTTATAAGCAAGATATTTTTCACTGTACAGATTTAGGAAGATGAGGCTTGGAATATTATAAATGTTCCATTGTAGAGTAGAAAATTATGAACCCATAGGGAGCTTAAAACTTGATTTGCGATATAGTCTGAGTATGACCTTGAAGTGTCACTTACCACATTAATCTTCATCTTTAGTAAAACAAGAATAATATAGCACTTCCCTTACTACAATGCTCTGGAAATTAAATGAGATAACACAAGTATAGCGCTTAGCATACTGCCTGGTATGCAGAAGGAACTCAAAAAAAAATAGTGATTACCCATATTTTTAGAAAATTATTTTTGTCTTCTCTTCCATTCTCCATCCTGCCATCATGCTTGCCTTTTCAAAAATCAATTCTAGAAAAGTAAAATGTAATGTAGAAATACAACAAAATTAATTCAATGACATAATTTTGTTTCCCCATGATTATTATAAAAGTTGGCTCTATAGAAATAGATATTCCAGAAACAGTGGTAAGCATTTTACTTATACAAACACTTTTTTATTCTTTGAAAAAGGTGAATGGTAAACCCTAGACTGGAGCCCAGCTCAGTCTGATTCTGGAACCTGCACTCTAGCCACTAGTACATCTGCACCCAATATGAACTCATGCTCTCAGAATATGAGGCCTTCACACACTGGCCCTGGCCTAACTCCAGGACTTTTCTTCTCTCTGTCTCAGCACATGTTCTCTTCTCCACATGCCCCAAATTTCTTACTATTTGCATAACATGCTGGACTATCCCTCCTTCCCCTTCTACTCATTTTCTTCAGTTCTACTGGACACTTCCTAGTCAGTTTTCAAAAAACCCAAA